GCGCCACACACGGATGCCCGGCGTGCTGGAAGCTTCCTCCCGTGGCCTCGGGTTCTCCCTCCCGGGCCTCTTGTAAATGGAAACTGCGACGTGTATCAACGCCCATCTCTTTCCTTCCATTGTTGGCTTCAGGGATTATTTTCCAACATGACAGCCCATTGCCTTCCCGCCGTGGTTAGCTGCAGCACCGCTCTCCTACATGTTATGTTGCTACTGTGTTTTGCGGTGTTCAGAAGTAGAGTAACAAAACCAAGGGTGTTTGTTTGAATGTAATAATGTTAAATTTCTCGTGGTCATTGAAACAACAACTCCTCACACACACACATACCAAAACAGTGAACCAGCCAAACAGCCCAGCGCTGCGCTCAGCCTGCCCCTGTCCCTGTGTGGTCCCCGGGATGGATGGACAGATGGATGGACGGACACCAGGGGCTGCAGCAGGCACAAGGCACCCCCCAGGCAGGGGCAGGTGGGGCAGGGCAGGGCTCTGCCCCCAGGGAGCTCTTGCACCATGAACCCAGGAGCCTTGCATCCTCCCTCACATGCCGGCAAGGCCCTGGCCCTCCCGCCTGCAGAAACCTTTTTACTGTGGCGCAGGGAGAGGAGCACGACGCCAGCTCACCCCAGTGCCCAGGGCAGCAAGCCCAGGAGCTCCTCAGTGCACCCTCATTCCAGGTGGACAGCCCACCTGGAGCCCTGCTCTTTAATCTGACCGAGGGCGTTACCAATTGCCTAAATCCCCTCCTTGCTTTATCTGCAACCTTCGGTTTTCACAGCTGGAGCTGGGACACCCTGCCAGGGCAGGGACGCTGTTTGGAACGCAGCGCAGGGCTTTTTGTTTGGCTGTAGACAAAGGCCAGGGAAGAAAGGAGGTCACCCTTCCTTCTGCTGCTCCATCTTCTCTTTTCCTGAGCCAGGGCAAGCATAGGGAGAGGCAGCTCCTGCGTACCTGAGAGCAAAGGAAAGGTTCCCCCAAAGCAGAGGGTGTTTAATTCTGCAGCCCAAGGAATGAGCCTGTCTCCCCTCCAGGAGTCCTGCCCATCCAGCAACCAACATGCTTTTCCTGAAGTCGCCCAGCATCCAGGGTTTTGTCTGGTGGGTTTGGGGTACAGAGCTACCGTACAGTTTAGGACATGCAACACGTAGATCACGACATGTCAGGGGTGCTCACTGCTCTGGTTGGGAAGCGGCTGTGTCGGGCTTGGTGGCCTCGGGACAACTCTGGGGACTGCTCACCTCCACACCCTGCCTGGGAGGGAATGTAGCTCCCCTACGATTTCTTTACAGAGTTTTTTCAGTGATTAGATTGCAAGATAAGGCAGAGATTTCAAATACATCCGAGATATTTTTTACACCTGTCTTGTTACAGAAATATCTGAAGTGCATGATTTCTACACGCATTGACTACCTGGAACCAGACCCTGACGACGCAGGCTGGCTTGGTAACTGTCTTACAGTTTGGTAACATTCATACAGTGGATAAGCAAAGATTATCAATAAACAGTTGTGCTGAAAACAGAACAGGCTCCACCTGCTGCTGTCATTAGCCCAGGGTCAAGAAAACACTGCGGGGCTGGGTCCTGCCTGCTCTGGCAGCTGCTGGGGAGAAACAGGCTGGAAAAGCAGGAGCTCTGGGGTGGGAGAAGGGATGGTCCTGGGCCGAGTCTGCAAGTGCCACAGTGAGTGAGGATACCACAGGCTCCACAGCAGGGCCACCAGCCCGCCAGAGAGTCTTCAAATAAACCATTTTGGAAAATGCTTCCAGCTGCCGGTGCTGATGCCTTGAAGGCAGCAGCAGCTTTGTGAGGAGCAGCTCTTGAGTGGAGGGTGCTGGGCTGCCATGCAATCCCTGCCCGAAAGCCAGAGCCTGACATTGCCCCGAGCAGCAAGACGGCTTGGCCACATGAGGAATCGCTCCACGCAAGCGCTTGGCCCTCGTGAACCCGCTTGCTCAGGGCACAGCCTGTGCAGCAGCTGCTCCTCATCTCGCTGTACTTGAAATGACCGATTCTTAAACATTCTCTCTACAACACAACCATTAAGTCAAGGGCCTGGAGCTCTTTGCTGTACCACCTCAAGACAACTTTCCTCTTGACAATCAAAGGGCAAGAGAAGGCCTTGGCGGCCAGATGCAGTTCAAGAAGCAAAAGGGAAGGAACCCGCCCCAGCTGTTCTGCTGCCGACAGACGGCATGGCAGATTGCAGAGAAAGATTCCTGACGACAGCAGGCAAAAGCAGCTATTTTGTGCCTTGCTGCTGTGCCAAAACTCCCTCCCATCCCTCTCAGGGTTTTCCTTCAACTTCTTTGTGTTTCCTGATGAGAGCACACAACCACTTCCCAAAACACCCAGTTAGGAGACAGCAGGATCTCCCTCGGGGGAGCAGAGCGGTCTGGAACCGCCTCACAGACCAGCCGGCAGCTTGTCCTGGCAGTCCGAGGCTTCCTTGCCTCCAGAGCACGGCAGAGGAACCTGGATCTGCCTAAACACCTCCTCAGCTCTCCACACCAGATGACAACCCATGCCCTGCCACCCCCAGCCAGCAGCTGGCTCTTCTCTGGAGCAAACTGAACCTCCCAGCCAAGGTCTGCAGAGGAACCCTGCACCAGCAGAGCTATCTCAGGAATAAAAAGCTGTGACGGTGGCAACTTTACCGTGTCCAGCTCCTGGCAGTACCGTGCCAACACCGAGACAAGCCTGCTCATTGTGTCACAGTAACCCATCTATCTCTAGCATCCTGACACATGGCTGCTTTGCAGAAGCGATCAAAGCAGGCACTGCTGCTCCTCAACCCCACCAGGGCAGGAACTCGCGCTAATTAGGGGCAACCGGTCCCCCAACCTCTCACACCAGGAATCACAACAACCAAGCTCAAAGTGGGACTCCGGCCAGTGACAGAGTGCTTGGAGGAGTCTTGGAGACTCTCTTTTATTTTGACAGTCAGAGCGACGCGTGCGCACATGACGCAGCAGGCTTTGAAACACAGTGCAGCCAGACCCAGTCACTGGGGTCACTGCCACCAGTGTCCCCAGCCAGCCACTGGGAAGGGACACAGCCCCTCTGGGAGCAGGAAGAGGAGCTGCCGAGGGCTACAAGGCCTCTTTGGTCCCGTTAGCTTAAGGGGCTCCCACCTGCCTCTTCTGTCAACAGAGCGTAGACAAATTAAGCAGTAAGAGTGAGGAGGTGAAACAAGGTGCTCCAGGAGGAGGGTGGGGAGGCAGCAGGAGGGCAAGCACCACCACAGCCCTGTGCGAGGCCGGCCGGCGGGTCACCTCTGCGCTTGTGGCAGCAGGGACAGCAGAGTCGTTGCTCAGGCAGGTGTGGAGGGAGGGGCAAGGACCTCCCAGGGGCAGCTACAACACAGAAACCTCCTCGCAGCGCCTGCAGGAGGATTCCAAGTTTTGCAGCACTTGTTCTATTCCAGTTAGTCTGAGAACACGCAGGCTCTGTTAATCAAGGTAAGGCATTACGTCATGGCAGGGGAGCGTTTCTGTAGATCAAGAGAGACAAATAAAGCCCAGGTCTGACCAAGGCAAGTGTAGGCACAGAACTCCAGGCAGATGCAGTGTCTGACATCTCTGCAAGCCAGCACTGCCCAGCAGCTTGGCATCTGTGTAGCTTAGAGCAAGAAGAGGTTCCACTCTAGGTCAAGGCACCCCAGCAGTCTCTGCCTGTGGCAGCAGATCACCGCAAACAGTCTGAGAGTTAATGTAAACCGAGCACCCCAACACAGCTTTTTTGTACCTTCAGTCTTTGGTAAGTGCCAACGTCAACAAAACCCTGCACCAGCACCAAACGTGCTGTAGGAACAGGGCGCTACGTGTGCCCCTTCCTCAGGGCGAGGCAGGTGTGAGACCCCACGGATGCAGCACCACTCCTGGGGAATAATGGCTCTGAGATCTGGAGACAAACCGGCTCTTGGCACGGGCTGCGACACGCCGCCACAGTGCGTGAGCTCACAGCAGGTTCACTCCGTGCTTCAGCAGCTTTTGCTTGGCCTTGCTGGGCAAGCTGAACGCACTGTCGTGAGGGTTGGGAACGCCTGAGTTGCGGAGCGGAGCACCCAGCTGCTGGAAGTAGGTTTCCTGGACGGGGTTCCGGCAGGCATACACGGCTGTGGAGGCATTCCTAGCGGGGCGGGAGAGAGGGCAGAGGTCAGGATTTACAGCTTTGTGCAAGATCCACTCCAACTCAGCGGGCTGGGCGTTGGGATGCTCGCGGTGCTGGGCTCCCCGCTACTGAGAGGGACTTCCAGGTGTCTCTCAGCAGAGCAAAGGAACACAGAGCTGAAGTGGGCACCAACCCCCTGCAGTGCATTGCCAGAACGCCACAAGGAGCCAGACTCTCCTTCTCAAGCATCCTAAAAGAGCCTTATCCTCTGGGACCCTCTCAGCAGCACTAACACCCATGCACGTAGCCATCCTCTGAGAATTCCCCTCGCTGGCAGACCAGCCCAGTGTTACCAAGAGCTGGAAGTTAAATACTCCTCGTTTGCTGCCCATAAGCAAATCCCTGTGCAGCACCCTCACGGCAGGAACCACACAAGTTCGTTTAGTCACATGTGTGTGAAGCTCAGGCAACAGCTGGATCCTGCAGCCACAAAAGCTCAAGCTCCTGATTAAAAAAACTCCACTCAGTATTTACCTGCAAGAGGGCTGGCAGGGAGCAAAGCAGGGAACTCTGCACTCCTCGACGGAGGAAAGCAGCAACTGATATGTTTGCTGACACCCTTCTGTGACAACTCTCCATAACAGAAAGCAGTTTTAGTCATCTTGTTACTCAGTCTGATTCACACAAGGAGCTGCTTTTTTTGGGGGCAACGCAGAATATGCCAGCATAGCCGGTGTAGGATTTAAGCAGCCAGTCAAACGAATGCTAAACAAGGAGCTCTCCAGCACTGAAGTGTATGATTCACAATCCCTTGGCAAGCCGTGTCGGAGAAGTGAAACAGTGTAATTCCCAGAAGCATCTTTATTTCATCATGTTTTGGACAAACAAGCACGGCCGGGCAAGCAGAACCTCCCCACGGTCCCAGCCTGCTCGTCCTCCCCTAGCCCAGCCCCGGGAGCGGGAGCTCGGCCACAGGGAAGGGCTCTGGCAGGGATAAGACCATCTCTCCTGGAGCATTACAACGAGTTTGCCACGCACATCGCAGCATGTTTCCAGCCCAACAAGCTGTGCAAGAAAACAAAATCTAGGTTGCCAATTCTGGGCGCCTCTGGCTCCCGGCCAAGACACAAATTTATTAGGAACGGCTATATTTAAAACTGCATCTTAGAACCTAATGGTGCCAGGAACTGATAATATTCTAGCATTACATCTTAATCCAAACCAGTGGCACAACTCAGCCGTCCCTTCGGTTCGCTCGCCTGGGTGCCATACCAGCCTCTCACCACCCAGATCGTGCTGCGGGCAGGATATCGAGCAGCCTACAGTTCCAGAGCAAACCTCAGGGAACACGGTGACACAACTGACCTTTGCCAAGAGACGCTGGTGTGATTACAACGCATGCCAAACCTCAGCCAGGGGGTTAGAAACAGGGTTCCCTGCTTCTGCCCGTTCCGTGTGCCACACAGCACCCTGTGCCCAAGGAAGAGGGAGTCAAGGGCACACCTCACCTGATGATCACTTCGGAAGCAGTCGGTAGCTGGCTGAAGTCGGAGTGGATGAGCGTGGCCGCTCTCAGGAACTGCCGATCTAGAGGCCCGGGCGTGTGGGGCAGGTTGGCTGCAGAAGAGGAGCGCGGGGGGTGTTAAAAGCCCACTCTGTAGGGGAACATGCCCCCATTTACCCCAAGCAACATGAATCCGAGTGAAGCGCCCGCAGCAGCCGCTCCATCTCCCAGCAGCCTCTGGCCCTCATCCAAACACAGCCACCAACAAGCCTTCAGCAGATTATAAACACACAAAACACAAAGCTTCCTCAACAGCCCCTTACACCCTGGCTATTTCATAAGAGTTACAGCAAGCATCGCTTCTGAGAACCTGACTGAAGCACGAGCAAAGGTTACCATAAACCCTGTTCTGCTCCTTATTCCCTCTCCCAAAGCAGCTGCTGTCCCAGAAGACGAAGGCTTACCCGTGAGGACGTTCTGAACGCAGTCGTAGTGAGTGAAGCTGTAGGTTGTCTTGGCTGAGGATGAGGAGTCTTTGGGCAGAGTCTCCCTCAGATGAACCTCGAGGCCATTTAGAGAAGCCAGGCTGCTGTGGTACTGCAGGCAGGGCAAAAAAACCACCAGGTGAGTGTTAGAGCAGAAGTCCTGCTCCACCTGGACTCCCAAGGAGATACCGGAGGGAGCTGGGGTGACTGGTGTTGATGATGGAAGGACTGGACCCCGGACCCTGCTGCTGCCCAGCTCCCATCAGGACCAGCTGGGAAACCTGGGCAGAGAGGAGAGCAGATCAGTCTCCCAGCTGAAAAGTCAGTGAGATGGGGACTCAGAAAAGGGCACTCCAACCTGAAAATTAACCACCTGACGCTACTGAGCACAGGAAAACGCAAGACTCCATTAATTTACCAACCAATGTCCCTCTCCAGGGCTCATTTTCACACCCTGGCCACAACTCTCAGCTGCAGCAAGGAATATTCCCTGGCTTACGAGCCCTTGTAACACCAGGCAGACAGCACAACACAGGATGCAGCTTTACAGGCTCAAGCTGGGTTGAACTGCTCATAGAGCTTCCCACAGCACCCTCCCAAAACAAAAATGCATCTTCGAACGGACACCCAGCCTCCGCGCTGAGCTTCTGCAGGCACTGGGGCAATCCCCAAAAGGAAAAAAAGCCAAAGAAACAGCCTCACCTGCAGGGTAATGACAGGTTGGCACAACAAGGTACTAAGGCGAAAGCCAAGTTGCTTTCCCAAGTGGCTGCCCTGCCCATGCTGAGGATGATTAACTCTGTAACCCTCCTGCCTGCCTTCGTGCTCTCCTCTGCCACGGAGAGGATCAGGCCTCCGTTCAGCATGATGGCAGCCCCTGGCCTGCCCCTGACCCCCCCTGGCCATGGAACAGATTTTCTTTTCTGTGCAGTGAAGGGATAAGACATAGAGACCAGCAGGGAGCGAGGCTGAAAGCCTCCAAAGCCTCCTGCTCTGTGGGAAAAGCCTGTATCAGAAACCGCCCCCGGTACCCTCGGTACTGCCTGCTGTTCTCAGCTGCGCAAGTAGCATATTTTACCCTTCTTTGGTGTCATTGAGAGGCCTCAAAGCATTCAGCAGACATTAATTACAACTAATCTTTGACATCCCTGAGAGCTGAGGGTCATTTTTAATCTGCAGATAAACAAAGGAGCAGACAAGCTGAGGTTACGCCTCAAAATCCCCCGTGATGCCAGGAGCAGAGCCCAGCTCCACCTCCTCAAACACCACTGCTCCTCCTGGGATAACAGCACAGGCCATGCATCTCTCCTAAGAGGTAACACCTGCAACCAGTGAATGCGGGGAGCTGGAATAACCAGCCACAGTCAAAATCCAAGCCGTGTGCGAGTACGGTTTTGTGGAGATGAACCTCCAAGCAAGAGCACAGGAGATGGAAGCAGCGTGTTTGGGAAAAGAGGAACCTGCACGAAAGAGGGACTTGTTAACCCAGGGGCAATACCTACAGGAAATCCGACTGACCCGCGGTGCACTGCTGCCAGGGAGTTTATCCCTAGCCTTAACGAACTGAATGACTAATTGAGCCAGGCTGGGGCACTGGGGGCCTGGAAGGCCGTGCAACATGTCACTAGCAGAGCTCACCCCCCCAACAGGGCTTTTCACATGCCACCTACATCCTTCAGAGGCTCCTTCTCGTGGCAGCAGATCAGAGCTGGGTTCCAGCCACGGGCTGCCGAGAACCTCTGAGGACAGCAGGGCTGCCCCACCAGCCCGGACCTGCAGCTGTAGGAAACTCAAAGAAGCTGAGGGTGCCTGTGCAGCGAGGGTGACCTTCAGCTCTCGAGAATGTTGGTTAACATTAGGAAATTAGGAAAAAAAATTCATAGAAAGAGTAGTCAGCCATTGGCACAAGCTGCCCAGCATGGTGGTGGGGTCCCCATCCCTGGAGGGGTTTAAAGGTCATTTAGATGTGGTGTTAGGGGATATGGTTTGGGGGTGAGCTTTGTAGAGTAGTGTTAATGGTTGGACTCGATCCCAGCCGTCTTCTCCAACATGAATGATCCCATGATGCTCTGCCTGCAGCCCCCTCCCTGTTTCTGGTTCTATTTAGCTCAAACCAGGGCAGCCCACAACCCAGTGCTGTTTGAAACAAGCAGAAAGGGGACAGAGCAACGGGCCACACCTGGTGCAAGCGGCCAAGACTGCACCTCCCAGCCTCTGCCTATGCTGCAGCAGGAGGTATGTCCCTGGGCACCCCAACCTCCTTTGCTGCACGGAGGTGGCATCTCCCTGCTCATGGGGGTCAGAGCCACAGCCTCCGAGCCCCAGGGCTCCGAAGGAGGAGTAACCTTGCGGCTCTGTTAGTGCTGGGAGCCAGTGTTTGCCTGAGCTTCCCTCCACCTTCCAGTCTGACGGGTAAAGAAATTAGGTTGTTCCTATGGCAACTGGCATATCAAACAGGCCTCTGCAGCTTTGACTCAGCTCCCTAGTAGGGAGGCAGAGGCCAGGCAGCAGCTCTGCAGACTGATGCTTCGCTGGGAAATGCCGGGGGGGGTCGGCATCTCCTTCCCATCCCTCGCAGCTGCTCGGTAGGGAAGCCTGTACACCGAAGCAATCCCACAGCAGAGTAATCTGGGATCACTCTGGCACAGCACCTATTTGCAGTGCCCGAACAGCACCCCTTGCTCAAGCCCCCGGAGAGCAGGCTGGGGACACAGACAGACACACAGACTCTCACATAGAGAAAAAACGCCCTGGGGACGCCGCCAGACACGTCTCTCAGGTGCTTCCACAGTGAGATGTGACACAAGAAGGGGAGGTTAAACAGAACAAACCTCGCTTTCCAAAAAGCACTACAAGAGCTGACAGTTCCCCCACGAATCCTCAAGCCAGCAGAGGCCTTTGGCAGCCCGTGGGGCTGTCTGTCGGTCACACCTACACACTCTGCTCCGGCACTAGCACTGACAGACAACTGCAGGCAACAGGAGTCGCCTGCGAGACAACGCTCTCACCTCTCGGGCTCGCTGCCTTACGTTTGCAAAGAGCCTCCCACGCAGCTTCGGTTGCGGTGACGAACCCCGAGCCAAATAGCTTTGCCTGGCACAGCGTGGAGCAGGTGAGGAAGGTGATGGGAACAGCGACCCAACACTTGCCCTTTGGCTGTAGCCCCTTCCCTGCCCCCACCACCAGACAAGCAGCAGCGGGTGGACCTGCAGCTGTAGAAGAGCCTTCCCACTTACCACATCCTCAACGGAGCTCTGGTCCTCTCGGAGCTGATCTTCAGCCAGGAGGGAGAGCACAAGCCCCTTAAGGCAGTGAACGTACAAGCTCATCTGAACCGGTTCGCACCACCTGCCTGATGCCGCGCCAGCCTGGGCTGCATCGCCCTGCGGGGGCCGGCCACTCTCCCCGCTCCCGGGACAGCGTGTGTCCTCCGCTGGGTCACCAGGCATGCTCTCCCAAACCTCTGCAGCTGGCAGCTGAGTCCTGCTCAGGAGCTCTGGTTGTGCAGCAGCGGCTGGACAATCCAAACCCCGCAAACCACCACTTTCTCCAGAGATGTTATTTTCGCTCAGAGTCCCTTGCTCATCTTGTTTGCTTGAGTTCCTTCTGCTCGACTCTGGGGCAGGAGAGCAAACAGCTGGACCGTCACTGGCTGTGTCACTTTGGAAACTGTGTTGCTCAACATCAGAGTCCACAAGGGATTTCCCCGTGCTCTGACTCTCCTGCTCTTGACTGTAAGGGTTTGGAAAGGAAAAGCCTTCTATGTACAGACCTGTAGACTGAGCATATTCAGTGGTATAGAGCGTGGAAGGACTTGGCAACTGCTTCTCTGATGGGAAAGATGCTCTTCTACTCAGCTCTGAGCTCTGGCTGTCTGGGTCGCTCAGTTTTGCCACTGGAGAGTTCTCTTCACTGGCTTCTGTTTTGGAGAAGTCCTTTGGAGGAGCGGGGTTTGCAAGGCTGCCTGGCTGCACAGCATCTTCTGGTGCAGCTGTGCTTGAAGCTTGCTCAGGGGACTCCTGCACAGAGATGTTATTTGCTTCTCCTGTGGATTCTGAAACTGCCTGGGAGCAAACAGCATTTTTCTCTCCTCTAGGGCTTCCTGGGGACACGGATGACCTAGCGGGAGACGGTACGTCAATTAAATGACTGAGTAGGATCTGTTTGGAGTAATTACATACCTAATAACACCACCACCTCCTGGTAACTGATCTGTCCTGCTCAAAATGCATCTACCTCAGAAAAGGTCTGACACAGGTGAAGAGCACCGGCCTCTCACACTGCAGACTCCTAGGGATGTCACACCCTTACTCACAAAGCACGAAGGCTGAGCTGAGAGCAAACAGAACATCACAGCTCGTCTCGGGAAACAGTTCTGCTTTAGTTCTTCACAGCAGAAATAGGGACACCATGAATTCAGTCCAGCCCGAAAGACCTCAGGCAGCTGTAGCAGCCAGATGACAGAGCTTGAGTTAGTACCAGAGACAACAGTAACAACTGTTAGTGAGGACACAGTGCCACACGTGGGCTCCCTTGCTGCAAAAGCCTCTCTGATTTCCTACCTAGTCATCCACTCCACTGGAAAGTCTCGGAGCACTGAGACTTCATCTTCTGTTAGGAATACGGGGATGATACGGACACCCTGCGGCAACGGAGAATCTGCAAAAGCAATAGAAAGTTTGAGGATTACATTAACGTGTCCTGGCATAAAAAATTGAAGCCAGACTCCATCAGCCCAGAGGCTTCTGCAGGAGGAGGCATGCTGGACCCCGAGTCACCACAAACCAACCAGGTCTGACTAGGCAGCATCTCCCCATCCTCCTCACACACTTAATGCTTGACACAGTTAAATTTTCCCCTTAGTGGTAAATTTTTTTTTTCTAAGCATCTTGGCAGAGTATCTATAAAACCGATGCTCAAAATTGATGCCTGAAGGTTTGGACTGAAAGCATCAGCCATCTGTTTTCAGGGCTCTTTCAGCGGCCAAGTAGGCACATGGGTAATTGGAATTAAAGCAGGAGTATTGGGAATCTGAATAAGAACTGACAATTCAACCCAAAAGAGCAAACTGCTTTGCTTAACCAAAGGAAGGAGCTAGTTCCGACTACACAACACCCACTGGCACATGCTGACTAGTGGCAGCAACACCCTTGGGGACATACTCCTGCATCCAGCAAGAGCTTTAACGTGAATCCCAGAGCAGTGGCTTGCACTCTTGCTGCAGAGAATGCAGCCCCAGAGGGTGGCTCACATGCTGCTGCCGTGCACTTGGCAGCCACTGCTCTGCAGCTGGATGCTCACCAGGCTCCCGCTGCTCCTCACCTCCAGGCTCGCTCTGAAAGAAAAGCCAAGAATCAGCTCCGTGGCACGACTCGACGCTTGCCACCAGGACAGCTCTTCAGCCGCCTCAGCCTCCCTGTGAGCACAGCAGACCCCAGACCAGCCCCTGCAGCAGATGGGCAGTGATTTGTTCAGCGTGCTGGGCACTGATTTGTTCCTTAGGTAGTCCTCGAAGTCGAGGTGACTTCCCAAGAAACAAAACACACCTGAAAGCAAGGACAAACATCACAATTTGCCATTACTGCCTGCTCAGGGCACAGAAAACTTGGTTCACTCAGCCAGAGTAATAGCACCCCTGGATCTTGATGAGTTTTTTTTAGATCATGAACCACGTAAATAATTACTTTTGACAAGTTTTAACGGCAACAGAAATTGATCTGTTTGTCACCTTCAGACATTTATTTTGTGTGTTTAGCACTAAACACCTAAACTTGGGTTAAAAGCCAATCAAAACATCACGCAGATGAGAACTCATGAATTCAGCAACTTAAAGACTGGGAAAAGCAAATTCCTGGTGGAGAGGTCTTGAAATTTTACTCAGCCATAACTAACAAAAGCTTTTAGCACCAGCATCAGTATTTGTCCTTCCCAGTAACGGCAGATGTAAGATTTATGTGACAAGAGCTCCCACACCGCATCCTTACAGGCAGGTACCTGCATGCAGGGAATGTGTTAGCAACATACCTGGCCTGGAGCCTCGTTGCCTTGGAGGAGAACTTTGGCAGTGAGAGAAGGTGGCAGCTGGGTGCTCACGATCCTAAAAGAACAAACCAAAGTCACTCAGGAGCAGGGCGGCTTTTCCCAAAGCTCGGCCAGAGGCTCCCATCACTTGGTGCATCGGGACAGAAAGTGCCAGCAGCAACGCTCACACCAGGCTTCACTCATGCCCTAAGCAAAACTGGGGGTGCTGCTGGGCCCCATTTCACAGCTGGGCAATCACTAGGGGAATCTCCAGGGTTCCACTGCACCCATCTCTCCTGGCAGACATGCTGCAAGGGCTGGAGGACCAGTCCCGGATACAGGCTGGAGCTAACACGTCCCCACACAAGAGGAACACAAGGTGGGTGACTGTGGGACCCTCGTTTTCTTCTTGTCTTTGGGTCAGTTTTCCTCCAAATGCAGGAAAACTGCCTGCTGGCATTTACTTCTGTTCAGCAAAGCTGGTTTTGCTGAGTCAAGAACTAAGACAGATCAATCCCTGCAGGCTTCCTGCCATCCTATAGAGAGCTGTGGGCAGCCGAGAAGATGCAGGAAGACCAGCACTCGAAGCACTGCAGCACGGCCCCCTTGGGGGTTCTCGGTCTTTCCATTTACATCTGGTTGAAATCCACATTCTGGAGATTCTCCAGAAGACTCTAAAGAAGGGGAAGTTTAACCCTGCAATGGGCAGACACAGGACAAGACTCCAGTCTCAAGTTAGACTTCCACAGCACCAGCTTTCAGGTGCTGCAGTGACTCACACCCAGTGTCCTGCTTGCACCTGTAAGATCCTGTAAGATTCCTGCACTGGCAGGAGGCGTTGGACTAGATGATCTCTAGAAGTCCCTTCCAACCCCCAACATTCTGTGATTCTATGACTACCACCTGAAAAAATGCCTGGCCTGTCTCTGTCAGACCTGGAAAGACACACACATTGTGGAGTATTTCCAGTACTCGTAAAAGGTGTTAAAGGAACAGCTGATGCCAAAGGAAAATGGTGCTTGAATTGCCAAGAAATTCTTAGAAACCACCATCTCCTGGTTTTCAAAGCTGCCACCTCTGAGGCTTTCCTTGATGTCGCTCAGTGCCACATCTGCAGCATCTTCAGCTACGACTAATCTGTGGTTGAAAGAAGTCAGCATTTCCCATGGGAAATTCTGGCTGATTTTTTTCTGTGCACTTTCTATCAGCACAGACAGTGGTCCTGGCCAATAAGTCAGTCAAAAATACACATATACAGACCCACACGTGCACAGTCTTTGCCAGAGAACACTCATGGGAAAGAATAATGTTCACACATCTCTCGTTTTCTTGGTGACTTCCACCTAAAAAATCCTAGGAAGCTGAGTCTGCATGCCCTGCTGAATATCATAAAGACAGCAGATTACTACTAAATCCCAAACCCTGAATTTCTTTGTGCTTCCATTTCTCCTGCTGATAAAACACAACCAGCCATCCCTCCTCTGTGATAGACATCAGAAGCCAGGGATAACCTTGCCTGAAGCACCGAAAGTAACAAGAAGCAGCCCTGCCTGTGCAGCTCCTGCCCTTGCTCTGCGGGATCACAGCCTTGCCAAGGGGCAGACTTAACATGCGGGTTAACCCTTTAGGAAACGTCTGGTTACTTACAAGCCCTTGTAGAGAATGCAGCCTGCCAAGACATGGGGAGACCGCTGGCACGTCTGCAAGATGAGAGCCGCTTTCAGTAAAAGCAGAGGGTCCACCTAGACAGGGAGGAACCACAAGAAGTTCAGCTCAGAGCAGCAAATAACCACTGGCATTGAGGCAGCTCTAGAGCCAGACGCTGCAGAGGACAGGCTTCTACCTTGGTTTTGTCCAGATTCCAGAGAGAATTAAAAATCTTGTGGAGGTCACTGGTGTTTTTTTGGAGGTGTTCAATGTATCTGTCCCACTGCCTGCTCAGCTCCTCCTGAGAGAACATCTGTGGACAACAACAAAAGTCCGCATAGGTGTCATTGCATGGGCCCGAACGCATCCAGGATGTCAGACGCGATGAAACTGGGGATGGTGCCTGTACACGACACATCTTGTGAGGGCTGGGAGGAAGATGATATCGAGAGGAAACCGCTTTAGGCTGAACGTTGAGGAAGCTTTCAGCAGAGCCCCATGCAACCTCACTGCAATAGGAGGACAGGCTTGTGCACGTCCCCAGGTCTCAATTTTTGGATCTGTGAGCTTGCTCTGACCCTTGCCAGCAGGGAGACAACACAAGGGGACATGCCAGCATGTGTGTGCCTGGGCAGAGCCTGGCCAACAGGGGAAATGTTTTGAATCTCTTCCCAGGCAGAGACATCATCTTTAATTACCACGTAGGCACGGTGCACAGGTCCGTTGTAGAAGGTGAAGAGGCTGATCAGCTGCTCCAGGAACCGACTACAGCTGATATCAGGGAGCTCCACAGCACAGCCCAGAACCTTTTAACAGAGAAATCCATGAATGAAGAGTGTTGACTGTCGAAACCCAGGCACAGCAGGTGAGAACAGCTCTTATCACTTTCAGATGAGTATCACCATTTACACATTCATAAACATTAATGAGGTCACCCCTCAGCCTCCTCCAAGCAGTTCTGTGGCAGGCAAACATCCCCCGGATTCACAAGTCAGATGAAAAGGAAATTCAAAAATACCCACAGAAGAGCCCTGGCACAGACAGGATAAATAAATAATCTCAGAAATCCAGTGTTTTAGATACGCTCCCTTCCCACACTAGATGACCTAGCTCAATGCTCTAATAGTTTCAGGAAACCGGTCTTAGCTAAGCACTTAAAAATATTCAAATTAGCTTGTTATTTACAGCTTCATGTAGTTTTTGAGTTGCAGTAACAACAAAAGTGTCAGGCCTTCTGCCTCAGAGCCCAGAGAGCCAATTCAACAGGCCGGACTTGTCTCAGCCCAGTCTCCAGAGGATGGTTTGGGGCATTTTTATCACAACTCTGTCACATGCTGCTCTTTAGCTACTAAATGACTGTGGACACCGACAACGTTCCGCGGCAGGGAATACCGAGGGTTCGAAGGAACAATCAGACTGTCAAACAGGGAGATCGAGTCCTTATTACAGCCTGCAGCACGCAGAATCCTGTTCCCAGTCACTGCCAGTGACCCAGGGACACACGCAACGATGCAGAGACCGACACTCCAGAGCCACTGCCAGGCACATGGTAAGAAAACTGGCTGAGGACACACAGCTGAGGCACGTGAAGCTTTGCAAGGAACAGCTGAAGTGACTGCCAGGATGCACAGCTGAAGGCTGTGGTAACACAATTTAAGTTACCTTGCAATGAAAAGTTGAGCATTGCAAGTTCCCACCCCAGCTCTCTCCAGGTCTGTGTCCAGTCCATAACTTGAAAAAAAACCAACAAACCCTCTTTGTGTGATACAGAAGTTGAGACTCTCGCTGGGTTTGCCCCATGACTGCCTCCAGGTCTCTTGAACTCACCCACAGATAGTCTCCATCCACTACGACTGCAAACTTGAGCTTCCTCAGGCGAATGAGAGTTGGAGGAACTCCAGAAATCTCCGTCACGCAGTGCACCACACCCGCAATCTGGCCACACAACAGCTCCTGCTGCTCCGGGAGAGTCTGTCGAGGAAGGCAGAGAAGACACACTTTTCTATTTATGTTTTTTTTTCTCCTTTTAAAAGGACTTGGGGGGGGGGTGGGAACAAACAAACCCTCACTACTGTATTTACATACAAATTTAAAATTTGCTGTATTTACTTACAAAAAAATTACCTGTGAAGGATAAAAATAACAAATCCCAGCACTTGTCGGATCTCCTTCTTCCTTAACCTTTGAGCCATCATAAAGGAAAAAGTAATTCCACCTAGAAAAAGCAAATAATCAGCAAAAACGATTGTATATTTGAAAACTATCATGCTTCTCCCTCTCTTTCTTCTTATTTTGGGTAGAGCAGTAAAAAGGTTATTGTTACAAAGGAAGGGACACATGGTTCTTACCTACCCACGCCAAGCTAAGGCATGAAAGCAGCGCTAAGAGGGTCCCATACTATTAAATTCGACCCCTTTGGGGGGTTAACTCTGCAGCCAAGACACGAGAAAGGAGACACAGACTTGTGTTCTCCTATCCCCCGCGCGCAGTAACGCTCCTTAGGCCGTTCGAAGCGCTCCAACAAGGCGCTGGTTCTAATTCGGGCTGTAGGAGCCCGGCCCCCTTCCCTCAGAGGCGGTGACACCGCTCGTCCCCCCGAGGAGCACGGAATTAGCGGCAGGTTTTTAGCCGCTCCGATGAGCACGTTGCTCGTCCCGAGCTTTTTGCGCACAAGAGCCGCGCTCCCAGCGCGAGCGCCAGGCG